TGGTGGTCTTAAATGGCAATATATCAGAATATGAAGATATTGGGATATTTTAATGGATCAATATTTTTTCCCTCGTCTTTAGAAGTTTTTAAGTCTGTAAAAAAGAAGTTTTTGAGGAAGAAGAAGAAGTAGTATTTTTTTTATTTTATTTTTTTAGACTTTAGAAACTCAGAAGCTGATCAAATATCGGGTTAAATATCGGTGGGGTGGCCGATGTCCGATATTCAGTTTTCGATAGGGGGCCGATTATATCGTGCATCCCTAATTAAAACCACCAGAACTGAAGGTTTAAACGTTCTTCATGTCTGTATTTGGTACAAACGGTAGCATTCAGACCACTTCACAGAGCCATCTACTAAATATTGATTATTATATCTATAAAATATATTAGAGTTGGTGACGGCTAATCACAAAGAATCAGGATGCACCAGTCGGGCTAATACCGATATCTGGTTTCCTCCCACGAATTCAGGCTTAAAAAACTTAAAAATAGACGACTATTCAATGGGATCTTTTATGGTGGTGGGAGGGATAAACATGATGGAAAATATGGAAGCAAATCGTTACCATGTTTCAAATGAAAAAGCATTTTTAGAATTTTTATTTTCTGAGATTAATCAATCATCCTGTTTGCATTTTCTTCTTTAAGACTGTTCATCCTTTTACTTAATTAAAATGAAAAAGAAAAAGACATTTGAGATTTATTTTTTTAAATGTACCCCTACAAATACATACCAAAATTCTATTTGAAATGTAAAATTTGAAAATGAAAAAGCATTTCAAGAAATGTTTTTTCAATTTAAGAATGTGGCTGCATTATATGGCTCATAAATTAAATTAGGAATCAATAATCCTGTTTGCATTTTCACTTCTTTTTTTAAACTGTTCATCCTTTTACTTAATTAAAATTAAAAAGAAAAAGACATTTGAGCCGCTGTTCCTCAGGTCAGCAAGGACCTGAGGAACAGCGGCTGCTGACGTCGCTCTGCTGCGCCCGCCGCTCAGAATGCTTTTTCGTTTTCGAGGTATGGACAGTACTTTGCAGGCAGACCATGAAAACGAAAAAGCAATGTCTGCTGTGTTTGCTCTTTGATTATGGCGTAAAATGTGCAGTCTTAAAGAAGGAAATACAAATGCTAATAGGATGATTGATTACTAATTTAATTTATGAGTCAAATAATGCAACAACATTCTTAAAATGAAAAGAAAATTCTGGAAATCCTTTTTTATTTTCATATTTTACATTTTAAATTGAATTTTGGTATGTATTTGCTGGGGTGCATTTTGAAAAATAAATCTCAAATGTCTTTTTCTTTTTCATTTTAATTAAATAAAAGGATGAGCAATGTTAAAGAAGAAAATTAAAATGCAAATATGATTATTGACTAATTTCATTTATGGGTCATATAATGCAGCCATATTCTTAAAATGAAAAGAAAATTCTGAAAATGCTTTTTCATTTTAAATATGGTAACGATTTGCTTCCATAGCACAAAAGGATGGATGGAGAGTTTTGAATCCAAGATAATTTTAAGGATATTCTGATTGATGAAAAGAAAGAAAATCTGTTTTTTTTTTCTGCATTTGACCTGCAGATAATCGGAGTCAATCAAAGGGAAACTATTTATAATGCAGTTATATCGTCTTTTTTTTTATTACAGTCAGTGTTACACAGTTTAACACAAGTATAGTAAAATAAGTAAATCTACAGTAAGTTGGTAGGAAATAAAACATTGGGGGGGGTCCTATTCAGATATAACTGGATGAACACTTTTTATCATAGAAAATTATAAACCATTTCTCTGGGATCTAAAGGAAATTTCCAGGAAGTTTGTTTGATGCATTAAGGAGTAAAGTTGTGGATGTTTAGGATGTTCAGAGGAGGATATTTTTCATTTGTTTTATAAACGCACTCTTAAATAGTTTATTAGTATGAATGAATCTGTTATGTATATTTGATATGATATAGATTGTATGTGAGAGAATTAATCCTTTATCCCTCTGTGCCGTTTTAATTTCTACAGCAAGATGTTGAGAAGTTTACAGACATCGAAAAGCTCTACCTCTACCTTAAGTTGCCTTCTGGTCCCAGCAGTGGCAATGATAAAAGGTGAGAAACTCGACAAATTCCCAGTTTGAACCCTTTTCCCTCTATTAATTACTCACTCACAGACGGACGGACGGACGTCTGTGTGAATCTCTGAGGACTCAGAGTCCTCCGGCTAGAATGAAGCGTAAAAAGCAAGTTTAAGGATTTTATTTCCAGTTTAGCCACGTTTTTTTTTTCTGTGATTTTTTTTCTTTTAAATGCAGATTTCTGCATCATTTCTGTCCTGTTTTAATGATCCTCATGAACCGAAACACTGAAACATATCTAGATTCCTGCTCTATACCTAGCTGTCTGTGTGTCATTTGTTTCCCCATATCTATTCATCACCCCGACCCCCAAATTCTGCCCATTTGGACTGGGAATGAGAGGGGGTCCTCTACTGCTGGATTATGGTATTACAGTTTCTGTATTTGCAAGAAAAAAAATGTCGCAAAGCAGTCCAGGACTCTTCCCGCTCACCACATCTCTTCTTTCCTACGTCCCCCTTTTCCAGCGATCAGAGTTCCATGTCGTCGAGCCGTACTCAACAGATGTATGCATTCAACTGGATACGCAATCACCTAGAAGAGCACCCGGAGACGTCCCTCCCCAAGCAAGAGGTTTACGACGAATATAAGTGAGTAAGGAGGAGATATGCAGACAATAAGAAAGTATGTTATGTATAAAAATGTGATGCTGACTGTGGTGTCGTCCAGGAGCTATTGTGACAATCTCGGCTACAATCCACTGAGTGCAGCAGACTTTGGGAAGATCATGAAGAATGTCTTTCCTAACATGAAGGCACGTCGTCTGGGCATGAGGGGAAAATCCAAATATCCTTACAGTGAGGGACTGTTTGCAGAAGGGGATGGAATGATGATCTGATTTCTGTTTACAGATTTCATGAAGGCTCAAACTGCCTCACAGAATGAAGCAGATGTTTAGTAGCTGCGTCCACCTCTGTTCGCAATCAGTTTAACCCTCTCAGGCTCAAATTAAGTTGTAGTTGCAGGAAAAATCTGATATTTGGAGAAAATTATCATATAGACTTTTTTTTTGAGAGAGAGACCTTCACATGCAATGAATTCTGGGATGTTGCAGATTTGCAACAGTGGCCTGGAGTGATAAATTAACACTGAAGACTGACTCTGATATGAACGTTAACTTTATTAAAGGGCTGATGGTTGAGAACGGGGACGCTGGGCTGATGTGAGCCTCTGAATCGTTTTCCAGTTATTTCCATCCTAGTTTGAAGCCTTAACTCCGTCGCACATACTGTTACAGCGGGTTAAGAAAGAAAGCTTTTGTTCACATGCCATCCTTACCCAACCTGGATCTGCAGAAGTCTGGCGACGGGGTGAGTCAAAGCTTATTTCTCTCCATCAGGCTGTTTAAAGCCGCTTTGAGGTTTTTGAACCGCTTCTGTTTGAACAGTGCGAGCTGATGGAGCCCAGCGGCCAGTCGCCCAGCGCCGAGGATGAGATGAGGTCTGCGGCCTGCGGACTGGTGTGTGAGTGGGCTCAGAAGGTGCTGAGTCGTCAGTTTGACAGCGTGGAGGACCTGGCTCGCTTCCTGCTCAACAGTCACTACATCGGTACCAAGTCCATGGCTGCGCTCACTGTTATGACTGGAACCCCCACAGGTAGAACAGCGTCTGTGATGGGAGCTGGTTCTGTACTGGCCTCTTTATTTCTTATTCATTTTACTGTGATTATCAGGTTTTGCTTCATCAACAGTGAGATTAAACCTTCGATTAGGTTTATTTTTGTAGAAAAGTTGTGACTCTTGCAAACCTCCATCTAAAGTCGTCCTTTTTTAGAAATTTACTCAGCAGGTTTTCTGGTAGCTATGACTGAAACGATCCATTAATTGTATAGTTATATATAATTATATAGATTATTGAAATAATCCTCCACTATTTTAATAATCGATTAATCATTAACTGAATTGTAGAGGCCGTAAAAACTGCCTTTAGCTGACAGAGCGACCTACTTAGAGCAATATATAAACATTTTGCATTTAAGATAAAAATAAATAAATAATTCTGTCTGTCCATCTGCTCTATCCAGAACCACTCAAGTGGAAAAAATTTAGTTTCACCTGGTTGTTTAATTAAAATTTCTTCTTTAAAGTATCTTTGGCTACCCAATTATTAATAAAAAAAATTATAATCGACTGATTGATCGATTTGCAAAATAATCGTTTAAGAGCCAGAGTTTAATAATCGTTTCGGTCCTACTTTTGGCTTCGGTATCTCTTCCTGGGGGCCCCTGTCACACCTTGCTGATTCAGCGAGCCTATGCCCGACGTCCCAGGATCTCCTAAATCGCCGGCATACGCTGAACTTTCTATGGAGTTTTTTTCCATTTTGGGCGTATTCATAGAGTATTCATAACGAGTCCAGAACTAATGTCCAACGACAGCCTAACTTCTGCATAAAGCACGGCAGCATAATGCCCAGGAAATGATGCACAACAGTTAAAGCTGCTTCCCTCGGGTGCAGAGCAGCGATTCACCCGGAGACGCCGGGCCTGCAGAAAAAAGATACTGGTATAGAGGTATTAAGCTGTTTACTGCCCGCCAAGAAATAGAGAGAGAAAGAAAGATAGAAAGAAGGAAAGACAG